ACAGCCAAACTGCATGCAGTTTGCCTGTGTAAAAAGCAGTCTGCCTGTGTAAAAAGCAGTCTGCCTGTGCAAAGCTAATGGCCAAAAAACACCTAAAAATCAAAAAAATTAAAAACAAAACCTTGTACTCTTGTGGTAACATGATGTAAATGACCATGATGCCTTGAAAACGAGTTTGTGCTTGAATGAAATCATCAAAATCACCCCACTAGTGTTGAATTGTATAGTTCTTCACAATGAGCTTGAATGTTTTGACTGACTTGATGTGCTTTGAATGAGCAAACTCTTTTAGCAACATTCTCTTTTGTGAGGATAGTGTAATGACTTTTGGTGAAGTAGTTAGGTGGAGAACATTGACCATTCGACATGTTTGGATACCGTGCTTACTTGCATCAATTGTGAGCTCTGATTTGGCATTGAGTCTCTCGGTTTTGAATGTTTTATGATGGGGTGAACTGTATCTTCATAAAAGAAAACACTACATGATAAGTAAAATATAAGAAAGTTGCCATAACAATTAAATGTGGGTAAAAATGCCAAAATCGTGTGAGGCAATCACTCATTGCACATGGGGATGAGGAAAGATTCAATTGAGAATCGGTTCGCGACCGTACGATGTTGCTTATCAAGTACGATCCCCAGTTGAGTGAAGTGCCATTTGAGGATGCAATGACCCTCCACACGGACCGAGGATAAGGAGTTAAAAGAAGCCCTTATGCGAGTGGTAAGAAGCAGAAATTGCTCTTGCTCGGTCACCGGTAGTAAGAAAAAAATCCCACTTGTACTAAATACGACCTCTCGGCAAGAAAAAGCAGAAAGAGAGAAAGCCTCTCCTTGTCATAAAAGGTAGTGATGTGCTTAAAGTAAAATCATGTTTGCGAAAGGCTTCCCCCATTAGTTTTTGAGACTCATGCTTAATTAATTGATTATGATTGGTGTGAGTAAGCCGGATCGTCCTCACGAGATATGCACCTCACTGACGTGGTTAGATTCTCCTAATAATTGTTACACCATAAGTTGTTAACCACCCACTACCGACGATCGAAATTGAGTGTTGCTATTTGAGTTTTTGATGGATTTGAGTCAGTCAATGGTAATGGTTGCGAAGAACTTGAGTGTGGGGTGAAAGGTATGACCATTAAAGCACAACTTGTTCCTTGAGAAAGAAACTACTGATTACAACAAGAGTACAAGGAAATTTTGTGTTTTGTTTTGAGTGTTTGATTGGTGAGTCTGTGGTGTGTCATTGTTTTGGATGATTATGTGTTTGTGTTGTTTGAGTCGTTGCTTAGGGACAAGCAACAATTGAGTGTGGGGTTGTGATAATCGGCTTTAACATATTGAATTCTTGGACTTTATGCGATTATCCATGGTATGTTTTAGCCAATTGGTACTATTTTAGGGCTCGCTAACCCGAGAATGGTTGAAAAACCATGACTGCCTAGTGCCATAAGTTTGATGTATTACAGGTGAAGAAAACACGAAAAAGAAGTTGCACCGGCAAACAATTCTCGAATGTTGGGCTTAAATCCCAGCTGGATGGGGACACATAATCATGGGCCTGGGGACTATTTTGTGGACGGAAGCAAATTCTTCTCTGGTGTGGGTTTTTTGGGCGGAATTCTTTAAAGAAAAGGCACAAGGGGGGAATTGGAAAAAAATTGGAGGCGAGGCAATTATTGTAGGGCGGAAGAAATAAAAGGGGAACGGAATTAGTGAGAAGGGAGGCGGCACTTTAATTCTCCTGGGCAGCGAATTCTTTGGACGGAGCAGCGCAGCGGAAAAAAGAGGCAGGGCATTGGAGCAGCGCCGAGAGGAGAAGAGCGCGAGCAGCAATTGAAGCCCATCAGTAGCAGCGCTAATTGGAGTGAAAATCAGAATTTGCGATTTATTTCGTATCAGTATTTTCTCTTCTTCTCGTTACTAGTTTCATGATGATTAAGAACATGATTATATCTTTTGATTTCATCATGAACTAAACCCTGATTTCTGGGGGAAACACCATAGGATGTAGCTATTTCTTGATTTGATGGATTGATTCATGATTCTTTTCTTCCAATCTCTATTGCATGAAATTACTTAATGCTTTGTGTTGACTGGCCACCAATACATCGATTTGTAGTTAATTAGGATATTAGCGACAGTGAAACCCTAATAACTGAACCTATTTCATGTGACATAGTAACTTATCGAAGCGACAGTGGATTAAATAAGGTGCTATGCGGTCTTAAATAGGATATCGATCTTCAGGCTAAATAATTAGGTCATTGAGCTACGACAGTAGGATTTGATTTAATTGTTTAGTACGTAGTTTTCATTTAGTTAATTTGCTATGCGAGCCCTAAAATAGTACCAATTGGCTAAAACATACCATGGATAATCGCATAAAGTCCAAGAATTCAATATGTTAAAGCCGATTATCACAACCCGAGTCCTAGGTGTGATGACTACTCCATGAAATTCTTATTATTTAGCGGTACAAATATAGTGAAGTTCCAACTAAACTAGCAAACGAAAGCAGCAAAGGCTGTGTTCCAAGTTTGAGAGAGGTCACCTAGATACTGTTCCCCTTAGACTGTAGTTAAGCCAAGTTGTAATTCACCAAGTCCAGATTCAATGATAATTATACTGCGGAAGGTTCTTAGACTGTCTGAAGTCTTGACTAACGGTCTCCGGACCCTCTCAATCAGAATCCCCGGCGGGCAACTAACCTCCACCGAAGTAAACAAACTGAGGCTCTAACGTACCAAACCTCCTATACTGGAGTAAATCAGTACAGAATAGTGAATTGATTCCTCGACTAAAGTCTTCAATTCACTATCTTCATTTAAGGGTGCTCTATCAACCTAGGCAGATATTCTCTTTCGAGGTCAAAGCAAGAACTACAAGAATTTGATCAGGGTTCATGCAATTCAGAAAACCATGCCTCAATTGAATATAATCGATATCAAAGAACATGTACTTCGGTTCGTACAACCAAACCTAACATACAAATATAGGGTTCTTCATACCCAGTTGAGTGAGAGAGTTTACTCAATAGAGAGAAAAGAGAAATCAGCTTCAGATGCAGAAATTATTCTGTGAAGGATGATAAGCAGCTTCTGATAATCAATCGGCACTTCACCAAGCTTCAACCGAGCTCCAATGGTGTTGAAGATCGATTTAGGGAGCTTGAAAGTTCTGTTCGTCGCTCTCTCTCTCTCTAGGTTTCTGCCTTCTTTCCCTATAAAAATAGGATCCTCATCAAAAGAGGCTTTCTTCACTTCGAAAAGGCAGATCGCGATACCTGGCCTAAATATCCGGTCGGGTATTTCAGGTGACCGAGCGGGTATTTTCAAAACGCTGCACACGGGAAAGGGGTTAATACCTGATCGAGGTTCAGAATACCCGATCGCGTATTTAAACTTCCTGGCCGGGACCCCTTCTGCTTTTTTGGCCTCCAAAACGGCTTTTACCCGATCGCCTCCTTCTCATATACCCGGTCGGGTATTTTAGTGCCTGACCGGGTATTTTTGCCTGACAGCTCCTCTAGCTCCAACTTTCCACCTTTCGACCCTAAACTCGTTTCCACGCCAAGTCCTGAAATATGACAAAAATGAACAACCTAGTGTGAAATCGGCCTAAAAAACGAGAATCGACTCTCAAACGGTTCAAGAATGGTGGTCAAAATATGTGCAAATAATGGTCTATCACCCTGTTTTCAAAACTATCTTTTAACCCAGTTCACGGGCTAGGAGTTATGTTCAAGATCTTAACGACCAGGAACTAACTCCTCCGTCTGTGAAATGAGGGTTCTGCCTATAAAAGGGCCCGAACGGCTCAGTTAACTTCACGACCGCCGCTTTTTTGCGAAAAAATTTCAAATCTCACCGGAAAATCGCGATTTTCCATCGATTTTTTTCGATTTTGGCGACCTCCGGCCACCCAAACCCAAAACAAACTACAAACCCACTCTTCCCTCACCTAGGTGCACCTTCGCCAGAGTTTTGGGGAGATTTGGGCTGAGTTTTTTTTCTCCGACGAGGCTCCGGTAAACCCTCTCTGACCAATTTCTCGTGTGTTTTCGTCTCCCTTTCCCTCTCCTCACTTCCCCCTCGAACCTACTTGAGTCTCCATGTTTGTTTTCAACTTTTTACTTATCAATTGTTGGAGTATCGGATTAGGGTGTGAAGTTAGGTGATTTTTTTAAATTGATGCTTGAATTTAGCAATTAGGACGAGAGTTTAGCCGATTAATGTGAATGAATGATGTTTGATGATGCATGAACTTAATTGAGCCTTGGTGGGCATGAATTTGGGTACAATTTGTGGTTGACTGTGGAAATTGCCCACCAAGTGCAAGAATGTGAATGAAAGTGAATCAGTGATTTTTTATTGATGGTTGGAAGCCATCGGGGCATGGTTTAGGTTTGATTTTGTGTTTTGATAATCCGCGAACCACCTAGAACCATGCCTTAGTGAGCTTTTTGTACATTTAAGCTTAATTGTCCAAAAGCCGGTCTTGTGAAAAACCTTCAAGGCATAGGACCGTAGTGGAAGCCTAAGTGCGGGGGAATTCTTTTCTCCACTTGATGTGAAATTGACAATTATTTCAACGCATGGTGTGTGTTTGAATGCTCTGCAGAATGGTCAACACGGAGCACGAGTTCATCAGCTACTTGCTGAACCACGAGCGATATGGGGCCAAGTTTGGGCAGTAGAGATACAATGAGGCTGGGCCTCATTGGGTGCTCGATCTGGACATATTCAACATGTTTAGATGCGGGGCAGTGATGTCAGGTGTCCTCAGTCAACCCTAGTGGAGGCAGCTGCTGGCAGTGGACGAGCTCATTTACCGAGAGCTCTACGTGGAGTTCGACTCCACTTTCTCCCATGTCATTCCGATGAGTAAGAGGAGTAGACCCTACGTGGACTTCATTCTGGGAGGTCAGCTGAGGGTGCTAACATACGATGACTTTGGTCGGGCCATGGGGCTCGACCCCACCCACATGACGAGATCCTTTACACGCCATCCAAGCTTAAACCAGAGATTATTAGAGAAGTATCATACAACAGCATAACAAGATCCTTTACAGACTTGTCATTCTTGTCCACCTCAGCCCTCTTCCTCAACTCCAACATTATGCCATTGTCAGGATTAATCTCCATGGTCTTCTTGCTCGACATGTAAGACCCCATGTTGTTGTCCCTCAGGGTCTGGGCCTTCATGATCCTCTCCATGCAAGACCCCATGTAAGTCAACAATCATATCACTGACTATAACCTTCTCCACTTTATCACCCAATATTTATTTGATGGTCTTGCAGAGGCTCTCAAACGACTGATTCTTCACTTCCTTCTTATTTTTCTCCTATTCAGCTTTGTCCTCGAGCTTCAAACCCTCCTTGGTTGTAGACACCAACTTCTTTCCATTGTAATCCTTCAATTGGTCCACTGCATACTCATCGATGGCATCTACCATGAAAAACACCTCGTAGCCCTTCTTCTTGAGCCTTTCAAGGAAAGGGGAGTTCTCCACTGCCTTCTTGCTTTCACCAGTGATGTAATATATTTCCTTCTGGCCTTCCTTCATTCTCGTGACATAATCTTTAAGGCTTGTCAGCTCATCCCCACTTTTGGTAGAGTGGTACCTCAGCAGATCAGCCAATTTGTTCTCGTTCTCGCTGACGTCATGGATCTCCAATTTCAAGTTTTTGGAGAATGCCTCATTGAACTTGTCATAGTCTTCCTTGTTCTCAGCAATCTCATTGAACATCTTGATACACTTCTTCACAAGATTCTTCCTTATCACCTTCAAGATCTTATTCTTCTGCAGCATCTCACGAGAGATTTTGAGAGGCAAGTCATCCGAATCAACAACACCTTTGACAAAGCCAAGGAACTTGGCATAATTTCCTCACGGGTTTCCATGATGAACACTCTTTAGATATAGATCTTGATGTTGTTCATCTTCTTGCCGATGTCAATTAGGTTAAATGGGGAACGTTTGGGGACGAACAAGATGGCTTTGAACTCCAGTTGGCCCTAACAGAGAAGTGCTGAACAGATAGGTGATCCTCCCAATCATTGGTCAAGCTCTTGTAGAAAGACGCATAATCATCCTTGGTAATCTCATATGGTTTCCTTAACCAGATGGGTTTCTGCTTGTTGATGAGCTCCCACTCGTTCGAAACCTCCTTGATCTTATTCTTCTTCTTCTTCTTCTCCTCCTCCTTGTAACTGCTCTCCTTCTCCTCGTCCACTTCCTCGACTTCACCCTCTTCTTCCTTCTTGGGTTCATCGTCTTCATCATCGGTGATCTCCTTATCAGTTGTTTTCTCTGTCCAAATGTAGATGGGATAGCTGATGAACTCTTAGTGCTTCTTCACTAGGTCCTTGATCCTCCTCTCCTCCAAGTATTCAATTTGTACGTGTAAGCTGCAGGATGTTCTTCACAAGTCAACGTCATCTAAGGTGCAGGATGTTCTCAATCTCTCAAAGGTACATAGAATTTCACAATGACTGCGACAGATTATGGTTGAAATCCAAGATAAATATTTGGTCACTATACATATCTAGTAAATTGCAGTCCGGTAGTGCCCACTATAAAGCACGAATCAGATAGCAGCCAAGCAACATTATTATATGGTTTTTTCCTACCTGGTCCTCCTTGAGATAGAGGGTCATCTTGGTTCCCCTGCCAAGTTGCTCGCCGCTGACATCCCTAGCAATAGTAAAGGATCAGCAGGTCTGGGATTCCCAGACGTACTTCTCATGAATTCATTGTAAATCAACACCAAATTGGCCAATCATGCTCACATCGGCGCAAGCCTACAATGCTTCAATGAATTCATTGTAAATCTTGAATTTACATGAAACCCTAAGATCGATAGAACACCGTGATAATCACATGAAATAGGATGGAGATTAGAAGAATGCCTCCTTCCATGGTTATTCATAGAGAGCATATGAAGAAGAAGCAATGTTGAATTTTGGGGTTCTCTCTCCTAGCCTATAAGTCACTTGATATATGTGTTTCTTATGATATGCCATTGTGATGGTCCAAAGCATACAATTTATAAGTGGAGAGAGGACCAAAATTCCTATTAAGTTTTATCTTTACACTTCATCTCAACCATCCATCATGGAAGAGTTAAAATAGGAACATAACTCTTTGGAGTTACTAATCTTTGATAACTCTTATTCTTATAACCAATTGAATCAAATGTAACACTCATATTCCTTTCATAACTTATGGATTTCATAATAGATCATATTAAGGATGAGATAACTCTCTTGCACTAAAAGTTATCTTACACTCTCCCACTTGATCGTTATGAATACTCGTGTTGTTGCTTATAGGAAATCATAAGGCGCACATAAATTGTTATGTTCGTTATCTTTAGTTGGTTATCATAAGTGTCTTAATTGATCTAGTTGGTAATAAGAGTCATGGCGGTCATAAGTTAACAACCTTAATTCCTTCCATGTACCACGACATCAACAACTATCACAACTAAACCGTTATTAAGAGTTTTCATAATGGTCTCATGATGTCTTTGACAAGATGAATTATGTATCATACATCCATAACAATGTGTACACAATGGAGAACAGAATAGAGAAGATGTATAGTTCCATTTATGAGCTCTATGGCAAAAGAAAATTTCAATTATAGTCAAAACATACAATGGAAATTTACTGGAAACTATCCTCAAGACCCATACTATTAGTATGTTTATGAAAAGACTTTGGAGGGATTCCTTTAGTAAATATATCCGCAACCATTTCATCAGTGCCTAAGTGCTCAATGACAAATTTTCCTTGTCTAACATCTTGTTTCAATGATAGATATTTAAGGTCCATGTGTTTTGATCCCTTAGATATCCTATCATGCTTAGAAAATTGAATGGCATCCTTATTATCACAGTATATAGTTAGAGGCTTGGAGATATCATAGTATATAGTTAGATATCCTTAATTCTGGTTCCTCAGGCGCTTTAATTATTGGCTAGAATATCATTATGGGATTGTGAATCATTAGTTGAGTGTTCCATGGTGTCTAATTGTTCGACAACTGGATCATTCTCAACTATACTTAGAATTAGGGGTAAAGATAAAGTGATCGGTATCCTTACTTTCTGAATGTTCACATCTTGTACTTTTTCACTCCCACTAGTTTTGCAATTCTCATAGAATCTAGCATTCCCGGTTTCAACTATTCTCGTACTATGGTTAGGACAATAGATAATATATCCATTGGACTTCTCTGGGTAGCCCATAAAATAGCCACTAATCGTTATAAAGTCCAATTTCTTTTCATGTGGGTTGTAAATTCATGCCTCGGCTGGACATCCCCAAACCTGGAGATGTTTTAAACTAGGTTTCCATCCTTTCCACTGTCCAATTTAAAATGTAAACAGCTGTGCGTAAAGCATATGTCCACAATGATTTTGGTAAGTCAGCATGACTCATCATTTATCTAACCATTTCCATATATGTACGATTTCGCCTTTAAGCCACACCATTTTGCCATGGAGAACCAGGCATTGTGTATTGGGCTAAAATTCCAAGGTTTTGTAGAAGTCATGCAAAAGGTCCAGGATGTTGTCTTGTTTCATCATACCTTCCATAATATTCACCACCTCTATATGAACTTATGATTTTCACTTTTCTATCTAATTGTCTTTCAACTTCAGTTATGAAAGTTTGGACAACTTCCACCGACTGAGATTTGTCATGCAATAAATAGAGATAAAAATATCGTGATAAATCATCAATAAAAGTGATAAAATATTTTTCACCACCAAAACTTGGAATGTCAAAAGGTCCACAAATATCTGTATGTGTTATTTCAAGAAGCTGTGTACTTCTTGTGGCTCCTTTCTTTGTGTGTTTTGTTTGTTTTCCTTTAATACAATCCACACATACTTCATGATTGGTAACATTAATATCTTGAAGAATTCCATCTTTTAATAATCGTTTTATTCGTTCACTGGAAATGTGACCCAGCCTTTTATGCGACAAGTAATATGAATCACATTTCGATGATTCACATTTTAATTTGTCATTGGTACGCAAAGTGAGATGGGTCTATGAAATTTGACTAGCAAGATTGAATCTATAAAGTCCATCGATTAAAATTCCAAAACCAATATGGCTAGAATTCAAAAATAAATTGAAACAACCATCTCCTTGATTAACTTTAAATCCACAAACATCAAGCTTACAAACTGAAACTAAATCCACAAAAATAAATCTAACTCAAATCCACTATCTAATTTGAGACGATAAGTGCCAATAGCTTCAACTGGTACTTTGTCACGATTTCCCATGAATAGGAAGTATTCACTTGGGTTTATGTTTTGGGTCATAATGAATCCCTGCATAGAGTTTGAAACATGAACACTAGCGCCAGAACCAATCCACCAAGTATGAGAAGGAACATAAGAAAATTTGTTTCGAAAAAGCTTACGGAACCCATTGGGTTACCTTTCTTTTCGAACCATTCCTTTCGTTTCCTACAATCTTTCTAAAAATGTCAAGATTTCTTGCAAAATTTGCACAAGTCATCCTTCTTTCTCTTCTTCTCATCTGGTTTATTGCTGTCATTTGGCTTGGGCGGTGCTCTTTTATGGCTTAAGTTGTGCATGTTCGCAGCTTTAGGTCCAACTCCTTGGATAAGATGTGCAACCTTAATACCTTGTTGTTTCAACCTACTCTCCTCTAGGACAAATTTAATTGCCAATTCATTTACTGTCCACTTCTCCTTAATGGCATTGTAATGAATTTGGAAAGGTCCATACTGAGGAGGTAATGAATTTAGAATGAATTGAACGAGAAATGAATCATCCAACGTCATTTGTAAATTCCTTAGCCTTGCAGCAAGGTTCGTCATCTCAATACTATGATCATGCATCGGCGTGTGCCATCAAACTTCTTAGTTGTAAGATCTGTCATAAGTTTCCCTACAAGGGATTTGTCTGCAGTCTTAAATCGTTCTTCTATTGCTTTTTAGTATTCTTTAGCAGTTATTGAGACATGTAGGGAGGTTTTGATGTTGCTAGCAATTGTCATACGTAAAAACATAACACTCAATCTGTCAGACTTGTCTCACGCTTTAAAGAGAGTCTTTTCATCATCCGTACTTGTATTGGTAATAGAAGGTGGCTTGTCTATGGTAAGAGCCATATCCAAATCAAGTACTCCCAATGTGAATTCAACATTCTCTTTCCATTCTGAGAAGTTAGTTCCCGTGAGAAGTGGAATAGATGAGACAGAAGTTGACAAATGCTTTGGAAACATTGCTGCAATTATAGACATATAATATATTTAAATGAGGCATTTACAATACATGAACAACACATATAAAGTTTGAGAATATGTAAGATAAAATAATAGTCTACCTGTGGGTTATATATATATATATATATATATATTGTCAATAATATCATTATAGTCGGAATTATTAGCTCTAAAAAATTTGAGTAATATATCAATTTTAGACAAAAACACAAGAAATCTATGGATTTTCTTGGTTTTCATTATACATTACTCCTTTATTATTTTTCAACAAAAAAACTATATTTATCATAATACATGTCTAAAATCTACATACAAAATCATGAAATGTATGTAAAAGACGTGTGGGTAAAAAAAATTGTCAATAATAATTGAGCTTTGGATAGATGTTTCTTCTAAATTATATATATCATACTTCAAGGATTGTCATGTTATTTATAACCTAAAATCTGATACCACATGTAAACCTTGAATTTACATGAAACACTAAGATCGATAGAACAACATTATAATCACATGAAATAGGAAAGTGATTAG